CTAACCCCTGACCCTAACCCTAACTCTAACCCCTGACCCTAACCCTAACCCTAACTCTAACCCCTGACCCTAACCCTAACTCTAACCCCTGACCCTAACCCTAATACTGACCGTAACTCTAAACCCTAACCCTAACCCTAACTCTAACTCCTAACCCTAACCCTATCCCTAACCTTAACCCCTAACACTAACCGTAACCCTAAGCCCTAACACTAACCCCTGACCCTAACCCTAACTCTAACTCCAACCCCTAACCCTAACCCTAAGCCCTAACACTAACCGTAACTCTAACCCATAACACTAACCCTTAACCCTAACCCTTACCCTGACCCTAACCCAAGCACTAGGTGACACAGGCAAGGATGCCAGAGAGTTTAACCCAAAAGTAGAATTACAAAGGGAATTATATACATCTAAAAAGGAATAAGACAATCAGTCATTTACATGGATTAATTTATAGCATGCTATGCTAACGTGAGTAATTATAGCCCAATTCTAACACGACGAAGAAGAGACAGGCTGGAAAATATAGGCCAGGTCCTAATTCATGCAGGTTTAGGTGGAATGTGATAAGAAAGTGTGGATGTTGAGCTTGAAGACGAGTATCTACTGTAACAGAGAGAGGATAGATAGATAGATAGATAGATAGATAGATAGATAGATAGATAGATAGATAGATAGATAGATACTGTAACAGAGAGAGGAGGAGGCACAGCCAGAGAGTTTAACCCAAAAGTAGAATTATAAAGGGAATAATATGAATCTAGAAAGGAATAAGACAATCAGTCATTTACATGGATTAGGTTATAACATACTGTGCTAAGTGAGTAGCACGGAGAAATGGAAACAAGGGTTTATTTTAACAAAAACACACTCAAAGGGAGTGGATGGTAGACATGGGAGAAAACATGGCTGTGAAAAAACTATGAACAAAGTATCAAATAAGGTAAACAAGGCTATGGCAGTAACATGGCTATGGTACAAAAACAAGACTATGGCAATAAGGTAAACTAGGCTGTGACTAAATAAAACCTGACGTGGCGAGGGGTGACGAGAACAGAAAGACGAAAACACACTGGCCCAGGACATGGGAAACGAGGACTATTTAAACACATGAGGGAGGGGAACCCCAGGTGAACACAATAGGTAATCAAGACAAAGAATGCTGATTTTTCCTCATCAGATGGTTATCAATTTTTATA